ACTTTTTTTTCAAGTTCAATGAATTTCCAGATACAATTAGCAGCTGGTCCACGCAAAATATTCCACTGCAACTGAGGGTATAATGCACCATATCTCAGGGATTAATAAGCAGAGTGAAAGAAGGAGGAAGGAAATACTTGACAGTGACACGGAATGTGTTGTATCATGAAGCCCCAGCCATGGTGGCAGTGTTTCGACATCTGGTTCATTATCTTCAAGCAGAAACATTTCTTCTTTTTAATTACTGAAGTTGTGAAAGTAACATTCGCTTTTCTCGTTGATGAGATCTTAAAAGTTGTGGAGCACTAAGAGAGTCAGAAAATATAAAACTCTTTTTCACTGTAAACAGAAAAAGAATAGTTGCGAAATTTCACAGAAATATTGTAAGAAAGACTATCATTTTCATGCTGTGTCTTGCTCAGGCTTTCATGAACTCAGTTTGATGCTCATTTGACTTTTGGCATTCATCAAGCTTTCATATGCTGGAGCAGTAACCTACAAAGTCTTCTTGACTTCTATATTTGACATTCCTGGCAAGAGTGACAAAAAGTGCTTGCCAAATAATTATCTCCCATGGCAAGCCACTAAGGAGATGGAAAAACACTGTGAGGAACCAGAGATTATCATATCTTCTAGGACAGTCGTCATGTTCACGGATCTTGCAAATTGTAAAAAGTGTATTTTTGAAAAAGAAAATAATTATGAAATATGTTTTTTTTAAATAATTAGTGGTTGCAGTAATTATCTAATCTGATGTGTGTATATGAAGATTGCTAATATGCTTCGTAGTTTAGCAAATAATATAGAGCAGAAACTATCTCCAGAAATTGTCTTCTTTTTTTTTTTTTGTGCAGTACTAAGAAGATAAATGACTTTGATTAGAGTACCCTTGCCTTTTTCTTGGTGATTTTCCACAGTATTAATCACTACTGCAATGTTATTTTCTTTATGTTTTGATGCATGGGTGTCAGTTATCTCTTATTTCATGGATGCTGAGGTCACTAAAGGGATTAGGTTACATGGTTGCTTGCAGTAGAGAGATTTCAAATCAGTAACAGAGGAGTTTCTTATCACTCTAGTGTTCCTAAATTAGGAATTAGGGAAAAAAGTTAATCATTTATAACGCATAGCAAGAACAACATAGACTTTAGCCTGCACCTCAGGGTCAACAGAGCGTGCGCCCTCTCTGTGTTGAGCTGTGCCTACTGCCRCTGTGGAGCTGTATGGGGATGTGTCAGTGCCCAAGAGGGGATTTTGCCTCCCTTTTGTTGTCTTTAGCCGTGGGCACTCCTGGATCCTAAGCAAGGGCCCAAAGCCTCCTCTGCCCCTGCTGCAGGCCCTCCTGCCAAGAGGAGAGACCGCTCAGCAGTGGTGTGAGCAGCAGCAGCCCCCGCCGCGTTTGAAGAGTGGGCAAGAGAAGTGACGTAGCCAAACTGACCAAGAGGCTTCAGTTTCAGCTCGTGCAGCTGGTCATCTAAAGAGAGGCATCCCAGACTGGCAACGCCGTGGACGAGAAAGGCAGCGGCTCCTGTCCTCCTTGCTCGGCACCCGGCTCCGCTGCCCCAACCCGTGTTGTGGCAATCCCGGGTCTGCTGCGAGCTCTACGTCTTGCTCCGTCCTTGCTCACTCCTTAGCCATAGTGGCAAGGAAAGCTCCGTGCGTCCTTAATATTCTCCTATCCCACATATCGTCCTCCCTACATACTTTTCATGCTTTATGTACGTCGTCACCAMCTGCCTGATTAACTCCTTTTTTGTAACTATGCAAGTTACAACTTTCCTAAGCCTCCATTAACTCCCTGTAGAGGARAAGCTCTTCCTGCTCCCTGCAGCTCCTCAGCAGTTTGTAAGGTTGGGCTCGCTCTCCAGCACTGGCACAACACTGCACAAGTCAGCAACGATTTTTGCYTTCAAAGCAAAAACCAATGTGCTTTTTTGACATGTATATATATATACATATATATTTATAGCTCGTTGTGGATTTTTCCTGGAGACCACAGTGGGTGGTTTTCACAAGCAGAGGAGCAGCACATTCATGTGGTGGCAGGGCTGTGGGATGCCTTCAGCACTGGAAGTGCCAACAAACACCTTTTTGGTGACACATCAGACCTAATTCTCCCTTCTCCTTGCTTCCCCTGCCTATTCCTTGGCTTTCTGATTGAGAAATCAGAAATTAAAACTGCAGTGTAATCCATCCCTTAGGATTCTACAACAACAGAGCCATTTTCTTGTAAAAACACAGCTTTTTCTCTTCTTAAGTTAACAAATAGGCAGCATAAATTAAATCTATAGCCGTACATCTGRCATTCTCTTTCACATTTTGTGTGCTCTTAGAAGAAGTACTGCAAATTTAAGTAAAATAATGAAACTATGGAACCATTTTCTTTGTTGGAAATGAGTAAGATTTGTGTGATCATGGAAATGAAAGAACACTTTTACAAGAATGTATCTAGTTCTAAKTTAAACTCTTGAAATATGGAGAGGATACAGTATGACACAGGTATTTCTTAAAAATAAATTCTTTATTGCTTTTATGGAGGTGAAAACTGTTCTATAGGACACAAAGGAAAAATGAGGGAAGATAAGAGGCTATAATTTATATAGTTTTAGAAAGTAACCAGAGGGGGATAAGTGATAATTCTCTACAAAGAGATGATAAAAGACAGGAAGATTTATTCAAGGTTGTACAAGGATGTTTTATAAGCAGCTCATAGCCTTACACTGAAAATGGGGGCACTGAGATTAGATATAATGAGAAACTTTCCAACAGAAGGATTTGACAGTGGAACAGTGTCAAAAATGGTTATTGAAGCACAGCTGTAAGAAGTGTTCGAGAAGAGATAAGATAAAACTCTGAAGGGAGAAGCTAGTACAGACATTAGCTAGAAATGTCCTAAATTATAGCCCTGGTGATGCTCTGGGGACTTGGATTTTTAAAATGTCATTGTGCTTTGGTTTGTGCCATCATCTGAGGCACCGTCCTTACCGTTGTTATCTTCTTTCAAGCCTCTCCAACAGGAAAGGACCTAAGTGTCTTTCTCCTGCTCACTTATGCTGGGCAGAAGAGAGACAGTATCTATTATATAACAGTAAAGCTAATTAGCAAACTCAGTATGAATGTATGGGGGATTTAAATTACTTCGTGTCTCCTAGGCCTGGGGAAATACCCACTGGGTTAGCTGACACCAGGATTTCCTGATGACAGGTGTTGCAAATCCTGAGAATCCTGGTTCCAGATATGCCACGTTTTCTTCGCTAACAGAAGATGTAACTACATCAGCTTCTGGTGATTTATTTGCTAATTTACTAAGGATTCTCTGATCCTGAATCTGTCATCCTGTGTGCTGCAGCGATGGCCCAAGCTGAAGAATTTGCTCTTGCTCTGTTGTTTGTGGATTGCTCTCTTCCAATGGGAACATTTACCATTAAAATAATGGTGTGAAAGAGGAACTAAAACTGCTGCTGACCGTATTTTTCTGCATTAATGGAGACTAAAGGTGACTCAATAACCTTTGCTGCTTTTTGGTCCAAGATGGTCCAAAAGCCTTTCAGAGCAGGGCTAGCCTTGCTTTGGTTTATGGCTAAGCTACTGAGTGCTCAAGGAGCAGTTCTCTTGGCTGGAGATGATCGGCTTATGGGATGCCTGGTTATGTGAAGGGTGGAATCAAGGACCACAGGAAAAAAGGCAGAGGAGAATGAGGATGGTGAGTGGAATTAGGTTACATAGGACATTAAAACAATTCCCCAGCACAGTGTGTTTGTATATTCTGGTTACGGGTAGTTCAGAATTTCATTAGATATTGTGATTATAGGTAATTTGTAAGTATTAGACTGGATATTTTAGCAACAAACTAAACGATAATTTATACGAAGAAAATTTCAACCTGGATTAGGTGCATCTTCAGATTAGGGCAACGGATTGGCTTCCAGGAAACAAAAATGAAGATGAAACCAAAGCTAGTTTTTCTGAGTGAGAACTGCACTTATTCTGAGGATAATTTTAACATTTTATTGAAGAGAAGCTTCCTTTTGTTTAGGTTAGCAAAAAATTGTCACAGAAGCTGCCCTCAGTGACACCGGAGTTCACTGAAAGTATTTTGACATAGATGCATGTGTTGAGGAGTAGGTGGGCTGCTTGTGCTTTTGGGATACCAAGCATCCCAAACATTTTTGAAAAGCTGTTAAAATGCCAAAATCCAGGTCACACATAAAATGTTCATTTTGCAAGTTTGTTTTATGATAAAATCTATATGCATAACCCCTTGTTAAAGCTAAAACTCAACMCAGTTTACAGCTATGTTTTGGTACAGAGCATTTTACTCTGTTCAGATTCTATCTTCATGTATCGGAGTCAACAAATATTCCAGCTTCGTATTTTAGAAGCAATAAAGAGAGAGGGAAATTAGGTGGAATACAGGTACATGGATGCAGTTAGATTAAATGAAGGGGTATATTTGTTTTGTTTTGTTTTGTTTTGTTTTATTTATGTGCATACCTCTATGTCTCAGAACATAAGGTCACAACCTTTTGTTTTGTTTAGTTTTTTTTTCTAACCATTCCAATACATAAAATAAAACCTCATTTTGGAGAGTTGCACTCCACAGAATGGGAGGGGCAGTTTTTACTAGCAAATTAAGTGCTTCAGTTCAGAATGGTTTCTTTCTAAATAGCCTTGTCTGTGTCCAGCATGACTGAAGAGCTTGGTTTGTTTTTTTGACAGAAGAGACTCTTGATACTCCCTGAGGACAGATGATTTCCCTTGTGGATCTTTTCTCATACTTGGTCTCTTGAAAGGCTTAGTTACTTTTGAAGTAATGCTATGTATTAAACCTCCATCCAATTAATGTTGTCTCTATATACAACTTTACCAGAACAACTGGCCTGATCCTAGCAAATAAATCATATTAATTGTTTTGTCTTTATGTGGAGGGGACTTTACTTCAGTAAACTGTTTGTTTTTGTTTTTGTTTTTGTTTTTGTTTTTGTTTTTTTCCTTTGCAGATTCCAAGCATATGTCTATTTTGCATCTGTCTTTCAAGCTATGTCATGTGGCATCCACTATTTAGCTTCTGTGTTCATGGCTGTTACTCCTAACTTTGTGTGTGATATCCCTGGAAATGTGAGCAGGGTYCTCTCCTACAACTCCTCTGGATCAAGTATAGAGGATATCTGGACACTATGGACATCAAGAGAAAACTACATTGTGGTCTATCTGGAAAATGGAGAAACTTGGGAGCTTAATCAATGCAGCAGGTCCAAGCGAGAAGTTAATTCAGATCTCACGTATGAATACAAGGGCAACAAGTCGGAATTTTCTTGTTCTGATGGATTTCTCTATGACCATGCAAAATGGAAGAGCACTATTGTTACCGAGTGGGACCTGGTCTGTGACCGAGAATGGCTTGCAAAGTTAATCCAGCCTACATTCATGCTTGGAGTCTTGATTGGAGCAGTGATTTTTGGTGATATTGCTGACAGGTAAAATGTCATCTGAAATTTGTACTTTCGGACCCAGTAACTCAATGTATATCTCTCAGTTTTTTTGTTGGTTGGTTGTATGTGAATTCAGGAGGTTCTGGTGTCTTTTTATTTACAGAAGTGTTTAACTCAGCTTCTTTGTCTTGTAGCAAGTACTAATTTTACAACATCTTTGCAAATAATTTGCCTTTAGAATTTGTTTGCTAATCTAGTCAGCTGTTTTTCTAGGCTTTGAGTCCAGATTGCCCCTAGATTATTTTTTACTTTTCTACAAGAATAGCAGTGGTAAATAGTAACAGCAATAGTACGAGCTGGGACCTCTGCTTTCTCTTTATTTTCCATGAGTCGGAGAAATTCTTCATGGAAATTTAAATGCTTATTTCTGGATATAATAAATAGCTAAAGGTTAAAACTCATTTATTTTTAAATCACAGATTTCCTCATCTCTGTCGTGAATACAGCCCTGTGGGACTGGTGCAAAAGCTCTGAGAGTTTGATCAAGCCCTGTGTTCTTAAAGTAAACAGCCAAATATTACCTTTCCTTATCAGTGTTGCAATCCAGTTGTGGCTTTTTCCTGAATGACTAACTTAACTTCAGGTTAAGCCACATGGGAAGAAAAATGGTTGTCAGGGGGCTTTGCCGTAGTTTCACTTACGACCAGCATGTACAAAGGTCTCTCTAAGCATGGGGGGCCCTATAAGACCCATCCCCAGCTCACGGTGCCAAGGGTCTCTGTCAGCTTGTTCCYCTCCTATGCTCCTCTCTGCCTGTTTTCTCAGGTGACACAAGGAGCSACCCAGATTAGATCCAAACTCCTCAACTACGTTGTGTTTGGCTTTGTCTGAGACCGGTTATGCACTTTTATTTTCATGTAAAGACTGCTTTAACTTCTTTCTATAAAAGATCTTATAGACTAGCAGCTCTGTTACATGGAGGATGAAATCCTGTTCCAGGATATTGCTAACTGTCTGAGCAGAAAAAAAAATGTACTAGTTGTGCTGTTTTCTTTTTTCCTTCATTAGCACAAAGCTTCACTGTTGCAGTGCAAAAATACAGATTYCTTTTTGTTTTAGTTGGTATTGTAGAGTACATGGAAACAATCCTTTTTCCTGCTCCAAGACTTAGTAAAACTGTATTTAATACAAAAAAACAGAATTAATGCCAACATTTGTTCTGTGTCTCTTTAAATCAGTCCTAGCTTTATTAATTAATAGTCAGACATGACTTACGAGATTGTGATCGCATTGTTCTCATTTCCATTAATTCAAACCATGGACAGCCAGTTAAGATAACAGACACATTCTGAATTGCAGATTTGCAGTCGTGGGGTTTACAGCTGAAAGTTATTATTTTGTGACAGATCCTGGCTGGTGGGAAATAAGTTTGTGGGTTGCCAGTTAACAGATTTTCCAGCAGAAGAGGCCCGACAGCTGGAACCCACTGGGATCACTTCTGGCAATCCTGGCCAGAGTTAGCGACCACATGTGCGTGACGGCTCCTTCCAAGAGATCTGTCAGCTCAGGGTCAGAAGAAAACGGGAGGGGACTGGAAAGATGTCGTCGTTTGGGCTCTCCCTCCTATTCACAACCTCACTTTCCAGGGCCATTTTAATGCAGTACTAAGCACTCACAGAGGAGAACAGGCAAACACCTTCCCAGCCCTGGAAGTTTCCACGCTTTCCACCCAAACCTAAGAGCCATATCTGTGAAAAGAGGTTCAAAGTGGAGTAGATAACAAGAATGCCCTTCTTTTATAAGGARAAGTACTAAGTACATTTTTGATTGGAAACTAGTGTTTGACCYAATTTTCTTTGCTGCTAATATCCTAGCTCACTGGATGTTTGCATTTGTATATGTATGCCTATAGTTATCATTGATTAGAGAATATAACTTAAAATAATTGGACAAAGATCCATTACAGAGACCTCAATTTACTATCCAACTTGTTTTTCACTCTTGGCAACATCTAGCTTGTGCTACCACAACTAATTTGCGTTAGAATTTACTAAGTAGATGTTGCTTATTATGAAATTTCTGAAAAAAACAAGTCTTAGCTACTGTCCATACGAATAGGACAGAATAAATTAGCAAATTTGCTCCATGGAAGTTAAATTTCAAGCAGGAAATGACCATATATAGTTCTCATTTTCACCCTTCCTACCAAAAATTTTGGAGTGGAAGTTTCTCCCGTGTTTTCYTGAGTTTAGCTAGATTTACTGCAAATTTAATAGTTTTCTTTCTCACATGGTAAACAAAATAGAGGAAGCTAACCAGGATTTCTGTGGTGAGTCAGAGCACTAAGTACAGCATCTTCACAYTTACTTCCAGATGAGCTCTCTGGAGTTGCAGTTGTGCTTTAATAGGATGTTTATGGTTATTCATAACTCAATTATTGCTGTGATTTGCAGGATGGGAAGACAGCGTGTTATTTGGTTCACGAGTGCTGGCCAGTTTGTATTTGGCATCGCGGTGGCATTCACCTTTGACTACTACAGTTTCGTGGTTGTGCGCTTCCTCCTTGCTATGGTAAGAAGGGATGTTCACCCTGCCGCTTTTATGCCTCATTTCCTACCCCTCTTCAGGAAAACCTCCCTTTTTTACCTCTTTTCTCCTCTAATTCATTATTCTAAAGCCCATCTGTTGCACTTATTTCAGCAGAGCAGGGAGAGGCTGAATATTCTTGGATCAGCAACACTTTTCCTCTTTGAATTAATAGAAAGCATCTGTATGAAGCAGTGTTTGGTCCTTCCTCTATCCCAACCTCTGCTGGACTGGTAATTCAATGCCAAGTGTGAGCAGCAAATTCGGGTTTCTGCATTGTAGCTGGCATTAGAAGTGGACTATATTTTTCTTAAAATAACAAAACTGTAAAGAGTATGATTTTATCTCTGCCATTTTCAGTGATGGAGGAGAGATGCACTTCTCTTCCGTGCATCTTCTTTGGTCTTTTAAACTACATTTAAAATGCTAAGTATGTATGTAGACATGTTTAATACTTACATGTTTATACTRTTCTTAAGAGTGTTCCAATATATGTGTGTATATATATGTGTGTGTGTCTATTTATATATTTATGTATATATATTTAGTGACAAAATTAAATTTACAAATTTATATCCAAAGTTATAATGCTTGTAGTCTTCCATTGTATAATGCATTGAGAAATTAGAAAGCTMTCACAAGAAGAATAGTATGTCATGTCAAGTAGTTAAGAAAATGGAAAATAACTGCATCATTTATTTTATTCCTGATGGCAGTGCCTTAGTCAAGAAAGGACCTTGGATCTGGACTTCCCTATGCCTGACTATTGCTCAGGAGGATTACATATGGGGAAAACCACACGGGCATTTTGGCCTTGAACAGTGAGACCAACAGAAGTCCCTCTTCTGAGTCCCCTGGCTGTTGATGTTGGGGACCATGGCAATTTATAAAAGCACAAAGCCCTGACTGGGCAGATGCTGTTGCTCTTCCCTGCCTCCCGGGACTGATTTGCAAGCCCCAGCCCCATGCACTGAGATGAGCCACAGCTTCCCAAGCAGTCTCTGTGGGTTCAGCAGCAGTTCATTCAGTGTGGCATTTGTAACCAGAAAATTGACTGATCAAAATAATTCACTGGAATATTTTCCAATTTAAATTTTCTGGCTGTATTAATGTTCTGAGATGGCAAGAGTTTAGAATGTTTCTAGAGAAGCTGGAATAAATTTGTTCAACGAGGAAATGCTTTAATGAAAACCATGCAAGTAATTACATCRTGTTAGCATGGCCAGATAACATAGGAAAATCTATAACAGTTTTCCTATAACCCATAAATCAGATTCTCTTCCACCATTGCAAGAGGATGAAATAATGAGATAATTTACAAGGGTATGGAAGCCAATTCGCAGTAATTTTGCAGATCCTCGACATGAGGACATGAGACTAATAGTCTACTTGGAAAAAAAAAAAGGTCAAGATTTCCAGAAGTGGCTCTTATTTTGGTGCACCTTATTTGTTTAAGTGTCCCGTTTATGATGCCATTAATGGACCTGACTTGCAGGAGTGAAAGGCTTAGTGCCATGAGCAAGTGAGGCTCAAATTTCCCACGTTTCTCTTGCTGCTGCTCCCCTCATCTCTGAAGAGAGGCATCCAAATCCCACCACACATTCAAATACTGCCTTGTTATTCTGAAGGTTCGAGTGAGTTTTTCCTCCAGGTGATTTGTTTTCAGGATTGCCTTTTTCCCTCTCAGTTAAATGTACCCAGCTCTGGAACGCCATCAGCTCTTCAGTTTTACTGCTGTTGCACTGGGAGAGTAGGCACCAACCTCACACTTGTTTTTTTCTCTCTCTCTTTCCCTCCCAGGTTTCAAGTGGCTATCTGGTTGTGGCTTTTGTATATGTGACTGAATTTGTTGGCACTAAAGCTCGAACCTGGGCTTCTATGCATGTCCATGCTTTTTTTGCTGTGGGAGTTATGGTTGTGGCACTCGTGGGATTTTTGGTTCGGACCTGGTGGGTCTATCAGATATTTCTCTCCATAACAACTCTTCCCTTTGTCTTGTGCTGCTGGATGCTCCCAGAAACACCTTTTTGGCTACTATCAGAGGAAAGATACGAAGATGCACAAAAAGTTATTGATATAATGGCAAGATGGAACAAAGTAAGCACTCCTTGTAAAGTCTCTGAACTCTGCTCAGTCCAACAAGACCATCTAGGCAATGGCAGAACAGGTGATAATGACGTATCTTCCACGAAGAAGCACAACATCCTAGATCTGTTTTGTAATTGGCCCATTGCAAGAAGGACCATTACAGTCTGGCTGGTCTGGTTCACTGGGAGTTTAGGATACTACGTGTTCTCCCTGAGTTCGGTCAATCTAGGAGGCAATGAGTATTTAAATCTCTTTCTCATAGGTAAATATTCCCTTATACTTTATTCTGCTTATGACAGAACTATAAYGTGTAATTTAGAAGTATCTAGTAATTTGACAGCTGATTTTCTGGTTATTCATTCTACTATAAACCTCTCAAAAATGTTCATGTTAATACTTCAGAAGGTTGACTAACACCAAAGGGAATCCATTCACCTCAAATCTTCATAAAAAAAAAATTTGAGGTACAAAATTCTTCTGTCTGGCTTTGTAAAAACATTTTGCTTGTAAAGTCAAATCTATTCTTTTCCTCTTTGCCATGTAAACGTACAACAGGGCCACATAAACAGCAAAGTAACCTAGACCAGCAACACAAATTCACATAGCTCCATTAAATGCACAGACTGTGAAGAAGGCAGTGAAGATTATTCCTGTAAATTCTTACAGTCCTGACAATATTAAACCCATCTGTACTGAAAATAGATTCAGTCTATGTTCAGAAGCAAGGCTAGTTTTACTTTCCTCAGCTCTATTTTTTTTTAATTCAGTTTCTATATTCCTTTAATTTTGTCTGCCTAACTGTAATCTTCCTCTGGTATGTATGTTGTTTATAAAGGCTGCTCATGCATTCAAGGCCTGATCCAAAGTTTGTTAAGATCAGTGGAAATATTCCATTGACTTCAGAGGAACTCGGATCAGGCACGCAGCCAGCAAAGAATTAAATCATACACGTTGCTTTATGCATCTGAGAGAGGCAGACGTGACTGCTCATGTACATAAGCACTCTGCAGGACYGGGACTCTCACGGATTCAGCTTGTGCAGCTGGGATAATATCCATTTCATGTTATAGCACACTGCTAGACTGACTGTTGGGYTGAAGATATTAGATACTAGTGTTGCCCTGATAACTGCAGCGGTACGATAGCAGTGTGGAACGTAAATCACTTTATCTGCCTATTTTAAAAATATTCCAGGGACTCTTTACATTACGCTGAATAACTGCAGCCTGCTTATATCAACACAAAGCCAGAAGACTGTTTCCTTACTTTATAAGGATATTGACACACTGTATGTGCTTAGTAAATGATGCAGCATATCCCGATGTTGTAAATGTGTTGACAAACTATATGTGCTTAGAAAAGGCATGCAGTGTATTTGTTCAAGGTTGTATCTTTTGTTCTTCCTAGATTTTGCATTGGACATAATCACACTCTGTATGAACAAGCTCGCTTAAACATGTCCAAACTGGCTTAAACTCAGTATAATTTGTCCGGGGGCAAATCATGTTTGAACGGGATGTGTAAACTGTTGCAGGCAAATTCCAGTTCCAATAGGGCTGCAGAAGTTTTCTCTGGAAAGAGACATGAGAAAATGGGGGTGACAGTGGGATAACATAAGCAGCTGCCCTCCTTTTTTGTGAGGAAGAGAGAAAGACGAAGCTGTTGGTGTGAAAAGACCTGCAGCAAAAGAATGGCAAGTGGACCCTTTCAGGCACAAATGTCAATGCTGGGAGAGCAGGGCCCAGGCCTTGCTGTTTTTGGAATTTCCCAACTATTTCCATGCTTCATTCRCACCACAAATTGATCTGGAGCTTCTTTATGCTGTAAAATGTGGCTCCCTTGTCCCGTCTCCACCTGCCACGTTTTAGGGCATGATTTTTATTTCCTGTTGCCATTTTTGCCATGAACTGAGCAAGCCCGACACACGCGTTATCTCCAGGTTTCACCTACTTACTACATTTGAAATCAGTCTAACCCCTAGCTTAACTGAGTCCTCACAGAGAGGAAGTCAGAGTTATTGCGCGAGTCTGTCGCCATGGGTTAAAACCAAATTAATTTCATACTGACAGGTGCTGTGGAGTTGCCTTCCTATGTCATTGCTTGCATTGGGATGGACAAACTGGGAAGGAGAAACACACTCATTCCGTTCCTTTTATCAAGTGCACTGATTTGTGTTTTAATTATGTTCATACCTCAGGTTAGTCACATATCGTTTAAAGTGTTCCTAATGCAGAAATATATTTCATAGCATCTGAGGTCTGTAAATGTAGTTGTTCTTTCTAAAGCATCTAGCTGACTAAAACATCTGCTTTAAAATGCAGCTGTCATCCTAAGATAGATTTCTATATATTTACACTAGAGATTTCACACTGAGAACATGAATGAACCAAGACTGGTAAAAAGTTTATGTATAAGAAAACCCAYAAATATTACTTATTTTTTACAAAAATCACAGTTTTTGAAGGATGTGAATTAGGTTTGGAACAGTAACATTTTCTGATGATTTATTTGTGATGTCTTTCATTAGGATTTCAATATATTAATTATCTTAGCAAATATGGCTGGCAAGTTCTCCATAGGAGTGGCCTTTGGCCTTATTTATCTCTACACAGCTGAACTGTATCCAACAATTGTAAGGTAAGAACTTTCACCAGCCATTTATTTTTCATGGCTTTTCTCTTATTTCATTTCTTCTGTTATGTTCTTGGGCCAGATCCAGCTCCTCTTGTAATTAATGGCAATAGTCCAACAGCTTTGGGTCGAGATGAGTTTCTAGAGCTGTCTGATATTTGGCTATAAAATAGGTTTTTATTTATTTCTCCTTTCCATGTGCATTGATTGGTTTCATATTGGTTTTCATTGAGGGACCAGAAGAATGCTCAATACTTTCTTAAACATTACTTATGCCTTCCTTAACATTCCTGGTTATATAGCCTGTGATCTATATGGAATGATGATTGACTTTAATTTTAATTATGGGAGCAGTTAAATTTCACTACAGTAGAAATTTTTATTGTGTAGCATTATTTATTAGTACAATTACATAAAGATATGTATCATCCTATGGGTGTTGTAGGTGTCCATTCCTTTCTGTTTGCTGTACTTACCAGAATTCTTATTATTTGTTTCATGTGTAGGTCACTTGCTGTTGGAAGTGGGAGCATGATGTGCCGGGTAGGAAGTGTGGTTGCTCCTTTCTGTGTATATCTAAGAAGTGTCTGGATTTTCATGCCACTTGTAAGTGTTTACATCAATGGTTAATGCTTCTGGTTTTGAAAAGGAGTGTGCCACTCGTTTTTTTCTTTCAGGAACTGGAAGTCAAAGAACCTTTATTTTGAAAATATATGAAYCATTTTGTTCTTTTGAAAATATATGAACCATTTTGTTCATATATTTTCATATACGAACCATTTGCAAATTGAACGAACCATTCTTATTCTAAATTATTATGTCTCAGAGTTTATGAGACTTAAAGCATTTTAAGAATTTAAGAATATGCAGATAACCTAAAGAGATATTTTGAGTCATTAAAATCTCAGAAGTTGTTATGACTGAAGATATAAATGTTGTTATGCACTCAATCCTAGTATAAAATTGATGACATTCTTCCTTTCTACAAAAACTTATAACTGATAAAATAACTGATCTTATCAGTCATATAACATTTATGACATAACACACTTCATACTTACTCAGCAGACCTAGCAGTTCTTGACCATGCTGGTAATTTACTCCTACCCTTTTGTCAAAAGGGCAATTTTTTCCAGTCTTACAATTCAACATGGATTGCTCCCAGACTTTAATATTATTCCTTTGTCTTTTCCATGGGGCACTGCATCTCTGGAATGGCCTTCCGAAAGATTGAGAATTTCATATATTTACTGTGTTCAGTTCTTCAAAGCTGTCCCAAAGCACTTTTTTTTTTTTCATTTTTCATTTACATGAACCAAAATGTAGTCCATGAAGAAAAATCTTGTCATATATAGTATTTCATGAATGCCACTTACCTATGGCCAATGCATTCTGTGCTATGAAAAGTATGAAGTTTGAAACAACCAAGAAAAGGGGCAGCAGACGTGCTAAGGAGCCWACAGTATTGACGGTCAGTATATAACCATTGAAAAAACAACTCAGGAGATACAAGAAAATGGTGGATTCTTGAATTTAAGGGTGACTCTGATGAGCAACAGAATTGGATTTGTTAAGCAGGTCCAGCTTGTAGGTGACTCCAGGTCATGCTACCATTAGATCCTTATCTGGTAGCTCCACTCACCCCAGAAAGAGACATCTGAGACGATTCCTTTGCAGAGTTTGGGCATTTCCTCTACCTTATGCGGCTTTTWCGAGCCTCTTTTGTACAAAGTATTTTAATTCCTGCTCAAAAATGAAACATATTTCTTCATTATGTTCTTGCTATGACACATTTGCTACTTAGAAACCCTGTAGCTATTCAACCTTGTTTTTCTTCTTAAGGCTAATTCCTCCCCATATATTTGGAAACAAGTGATTACAAAGTTTGTCTTAAGGATTTAAGTAGAAAATGAACTTATTAACCATTTTAAAATAATTCTAATTCTTTCAAAACTCTTAGAATTCACTGTGCCTAGCAAACTAATGTTATATATAGAAAATATATGTCAGAAGGTGAAAACAATGGGATGAGTTTTTGACCTAGATTCTTTCTCTAATTGTGTGCACCATGTWGAGTTTCCTAAAGACCTGGCACTGTGTCTTTTGATAGTGCAACTGTAAAATCTTCAATTATAAATGATACAGAGTGGYTTGAGAGAATTCTTGGGAACTTGGATCATTATTTAAATGAATTGCTTCCAGTTGTTCGGGATGAAATTTYAGAGCGTGAAGCAGACCACAAATTGATTGCTTTCTTAATAATAGCCCTACACAAACCAAGAGATCAACCCAGAACAAGAGACACAGAAATCAAAATTTGCACAGCAGGCTGATCCTGGGGGCATGTTCTCTTTCTTGCATCAGTGTTTTGCCTTTACCAGCTGAGATAAGGTTTATCAGTGCAGGTAAACCACAGACGGGCCGTGGTGAAAGATTGGGAGAGCAGAGCAAATGGCAGCAAGAAGGAGAGGAATTATCTCAAATAGGAACAACTCAGCGCACAAAAAGCATTCAGATTATCTGTGGAGTTGTGCAGCAGTTAAGTGGGAATATGTTTTCCTTATTAGCTCCTACTACAAAGCGTTTATCAGTTTATTAAATAGACATGTCTTTGGTTGGAGCACAGCATGCCCAGTCTCAACTAACAGAAGTGTTTTGGAAGGAAAGTGAAATGAAATGGCTTATATTTTAAAAAGCAAGCCACTATACCTCATTTTGATCTATTATACACACCACCCATTATCGAGCAGTTAATACTGCTATTTGCTTGACAGTCTGCCTCTCTTCCAGCTCTGCCACCTGGGACTTTGCCAAATACGTTGTTCGTGTGACAACTTTCTGAGAACTTAGAGTAAAACAAATGCTCTACATATAGCCTATTTGTTTTTCCCAGCTGTTAAGCAGTATATTACATTAGTTCCTCAACAAGCTTGATTTCTCTCTTTGAAAAAACATAAACTTAAAAAAAAAATCTCTATGAAGGMAGTAAAGTTAAATATATGCAAATAAAGTGTCTAATACTACTGAATTTGCAAGACAACGTTTAATCTTCTTTTCTTAATAAAGTGGATATTTTGTAAATAAGATCATTTCTTTAAGGTTGGGTTTGAGCCAACAGATAGGGACATATATTTCATCAGCAGAATAGAATAATTTCTGGTTCTTCAAAGTAAAAAGTATTATTTTTGAAGGATATTTAATGCAAATCATCCTTGTTATTGATGGGGTATCTAATCCTGACCTTTAGATCAGTGTGAAATTAAAACTGCTGCTTCAGGTAAGGGAGGAAGGCATAAGAAACATGGTGATAAATCTGTTTGAAATTATTTACGGTAGCAGTTAGAAGCTGCTGGATATATGAGAATGGTGGAAATGCTTTGAGAGTTTGACCTTTCAGAAAGTCCAATTTAAATTAACAACCTAAAAAAAAAAAAAAGATTTTAAACAAATTCTCTTGCACCAGTAAGTTTAACAGAGCTTAAATGTAATTAAATATCTTAGAGAATAATGCTCTTTAATCTATAACCTTTTATTTAATTGGTTGCATAAGAAGGATATTTTCTGATGTTGAGTTATAAGCAAAATATCACATGCATAYGCAGGATATGTATTTGTTAAATTAGGCTAAATTAGGTCAGATAACTTCCTTTGAGTGTGAATAACTTCGTTGATCARTGTGATTTGATTGCCTGAACACATAGGGGGCATTTGAAAAGTCCTCTCATTAAATGACTTAATTTCTTTCATATTCTCTCTTTTTGTAGGAAATACTGGAAAATGCTTTGTAGAGGCAGGGAGATGAAATAAATTAGCAGTTTGTGTGCAGCAGCCTTTTCATGCTGAAAAAGGAAGCTAAAGCTTGGTGCTGGAATAAAGAGAGATGACATTAAAGGCAGGAAAGATGGTGATGACTGCGCTTACGGAACAGGGACAGTTAGCAGGGAATAAGGGGGAGCTTCAGGAGAAAGGAAAGCATGGGAAGAATAGGAAGTGTCTGAGAGACTAACGAACAGAAAAGATGCACCTATTCCACACACGGTGTTGCTTTAGCCTTGTTCCTCTGGGCATCAGTAGTGACCCCGTTCTCATATACAATGAATATATGGCTAACTAAGGAAACAAGTCATGTGTGAGCTTCAGTAGGATCCTTCAGTAACCCTCAGTGCTCTGAAATATGACCTTATCACAGCTAACATATCACTATTCAGCTTGTCTTACCATGGCAGAAAAATCACGTTTCGGTTGTGGAGAGAGTTTTGCCACTCAGAGTGGCAAACTCAGAGATATTTACTCAGAGTGAATATCTCTGAATATATTTTAAATTATCCATTCTGTCATATATATATATATGTATGTATGTATGCAATGTGTCAATTTGTCACTCAATAATATTTTCACTGATCCTATTTCTTCCTTTTCTTTTTTTGTAATTTCTCATGATAGGATCATGACTCTTTTATTTTCATTCTAATTCGCAGTGTTCAACAGTATTTGCTTCATTTTTTGTTTTGCCAGCTTCTATATTCAATCCAAGTTCCAAAAAAAAAAAAAAAAAAAAAAAAAGAAAAGAAAAGAAAAAAAGAGTGTGTGCAGCAGTGTGCATTCTGCTTCTCAGCAGCCTGCTTGAGACAAACTGACATCTTAACTCAGAGGGAAGCAAAGGAAGCAAAGTCTATTTACATGGGAAAACTCTTTCAGGGTTACTATGGAGAATTCCAATTTTAAAGCTCCTTTCTGACTTTAAGAGCTACTCTCACACAGAAGCAGGTGATAGCTGCATGTTACTTGTCTCCAGCTCTCTCTTTCTGGGAGATTTAGACACAGTAATTCCTGATGTTCCCTCACGCTCAGAAAGGAAGAATTAAACAAATGGGGCAGACCTTAGCATCAGCATGGGGCAAAGGAAGGATGATACATAAGCACAGTACACAGGAAATGAACACTCTGCCCAGGCATGATGTTGTGTTTGTAGGCATTAGTTTCTGCTAGAGTTAATGATGGAAGAAAGCTGGGGTTTGGTGTTCCCTGTTTCGAAGGAGCAAAGTGTGAAATGTTCTTACTAAACAAGGCACAGAGATGAAGATTCTCAGGCAGAATCCTTCCTCCTTGCACTGTATTGATCCCTTGTGGAGTAAAACACTTCATTTGCTCTTCATTAACTTTGCTGCATAAGCTTTYATCTGTACTCACCGAGGCAGATCTTTTATATAGTCAACATTTAAGGCTTTGCTGTACATTACAGTTTCTTGCTCTTTAAGTGCATTTTCAACCAAGATCAAAGATCTGCATGACTTGAAAGACATGTCTACCCTTACAGCTGCTGTTCGTTTCTTCTAGTTGCTTGTTGGAATCATGGCTCTTCTGAGTGGAATATTAACAATAATGCTTCCAGAAACTCTTGGAAAACCATTGACTAATACTTTGATAGAAGCTGCAGAACTGGGAAGAAACACGGAAAACTCTTCAGGGAAGACTCGTCCAGAAAAGATAGAGATGTTTGGTCAAGAAACAGCCAACATTGAAAAATAAGGCAACAGCAAAACGTCCTTTCCTGTTTTAAATAATTATACAATTCTTAAGGTCATTTAATTCAAGAAATGCTGTACTACAATTTCTGTGCCTTTTATTCTGTATCCAGCCTTTGCTTTTCAATAGAGCAACTATACAAAACCTTTTCCACATGACTCAGGTACTGTAGAAATTTTGATGGGATTTCTAGATCCTCTGTCAGAAGAAGAAACTCTCTCAGAATTTTAGAAAACCCGTCTGACATGTTGTGACCAGTTGGAATGTGTACTCTAAATTTTGAAAGCTTCCCGATTATACATGCATACAAAAATATTGTAATTCTTTACTTCAGATTGTTTGCAGTTACATCTGTAAATGCAACACAAAATGCCACATCAATATATTGCAAGCGATAGTTCCAGGATTCAGGCTTCAGATCATAGGAAACTCAAACACATAGTTATAATTCAATAGAGAAGACTTAATAGTGGATCAAGTCATACCAATAATTCAAATCTAAGCCAACCTATTCAATTTATTCTTTGAATTTACTACTGGAAAAGTTGCCATGGCTAGCAACAAAAAATGTTGTGTGGAACAGTTTCTGGCTGAAACAGTAATCTTACATTTGCAGAATGCGCAAATAGTTTGTATACTATTCATTCTGTTGAATGTCAAATGTATTTTTCTTAGTGGTTTAGAAAAAAATATCCACTGGCTCTGTTGCTGCCTTAATAATTTCTTTTTTGTTTAGGCAACATCTGATGCCTTTGTAAGCCATATTCATTCCAGACTGTTATTTCAGTGCGCTCTTCTCACTTACTTCAGCTCAGATATAGCATCAGATTCTTGTAACTTTTAGAATTACACCTGCAAGAAAGCCTAGCTCTGTCCTCAGTGAAATAGAGTAGGTGACACCTAGGTCCTGCTCAGGCTCTCTATGCAGAGGTGCCTACACAGCATTATTTATCATAGGCCAGTTCTCCATAGCTCCATTTTTATTTTCCGTCAGACTATGCAAAATCAGATACAAAATTAAAAATTGAGAATATTACAGCTGGAAGAAACCAATCAACAGACAGGCAAATTATCAGCTCCAGATAGTTTCAGTCTCAGTGCTTGTGAGCGTCCCACCGTGCTCACACCTCACGTGTGTATCAGTCCTTACCTGCTGGTGTGATGATCATGTCTGGTGACTGTGGACCATAGGAAACGAGCACAGCTCTGAATGCATTTATTCCAGCTGCTGCTTTTGAAGCTTCTTGTCCCAGCTCTCCTTTYTCATTGTACCTTCAGACCCAGGTGTTTCTTCCCATCCTGTATCCTCCACACTCCATCAACCCTGAGTTGRGGCAGGCAGCCCTGCACTGCGTATGTCTGGGTTCAGGGAGCCATCCACTGCCTGGCCTGTGTGAACTCYGTCATCCCCAGACTGAAATCAGGATTTTTCTGGTCCTAGACAACCTCTCTCAAGCTAGCTGGTACAACCTCATCTAAACAAGTCTTCCCTTTYTCACTTCTTGGCCATGTACCCTGAAATGAGACATCTAAATGACTGTAACGGAATAGTCCATATGCTATATAAGTCACTGTGCATGTTTTTTCTTGTATGTCTGCACAGTCATGTTAGTTTCAATGATTTCTAAAAACGGAATTTTGTCTATATCTGTTTGAAAAAGAAAATAAAGATTTTCTCTTCAGCCACTGCATGGTCCTGGAGTACCAAGTAGCATTTTGCTCTTGGGTTTAGGACAAGCTCATACCCTATGTGAGGTCCAAAATATTTCAAAGCCAAACAAAAATCAACAAGTTTAAACTTAGACAGTTTCTATTTGATAACTCCCTGTAAAGCCAAATCTTTACTCTCCCCTGAGTTATGCGGGTGCTTCAATATTTACGGAGCAAACCCCAGAAGGAAATTGCATTGATTGTTATGGCTTCTGTCCAGATATATTAATTCAGCAAAAGCAAATGCCTTACCTTATCTACATGAGTAATGCCATCARAATGCAGAGGGGCGCTTGAATACGCACTTTGATGCCTGAAGGAGGAATGACTCCCATGCTCTGGCTCTCTGTTTGGCGAAGAGCAGCCCCAGTATCTTCCATCGCACTTGCCCTCTGTTCCCCAGGGCCGAGCAGCTGCCCTGTCGGCAGCATCTGCCTCCCAGCCCTGCTCGCCCTGCCTTCAACGAGGGCTCACCCGGGCTGCAAAGGAAGGTGCCTTGCCAAAGTGCTGGCGCTCTGGCCTTTCCACCATGCTCCTCCACAAAGCTCCGAGTACTTGCACGATCTGAGGTTATTTCACACTGATRCTACTTCTTTTTTAGCGTACGGTCCAATCTAAAACACCTTCATCCTGAGCGCTGGGACAATTTCTCAGCTTCCTTACTGCAGAATAGAAAATTTATTTTGGAGATTATCTCTCTGTGAACAGTTGATGTGTGTTATGTATTAGTTTGACTTGAGTGATTCAAGATCAGGTCTGTTTTAATCAGGATATATAAGGTAAAAAAAGAAAAAAAAAAGAGAGAATAAAGAAAAAGGCAAAGATCTAAATATACAAGAATACCTGTCCAGTCCTTACAGGCTACAACTTTCTAATGATAATTCTGACCCAAAATGTAGCTTGTTGGCTTTTAACCCTTTAAATCTACTCCTCTTGTCACTGGAGTCAGTTGGTGTTTCATTGATTCAAGCGAGAGCTGGATTTTCTCTGGGCTGATCATGTCACTATTTCTTCCCTAGAAGTTCTCCTACAGCTGCATCTTTTGAGATTTAATGCTTGGGGAGCTTTCAAGGTGCTCTGGGGTACCCTATTCTTTTAGCTGAAGAAATTTATTACTGTAAAAAGGACATGCCATGTGTATATGTGTCAGGAGCATTTCTGTTTACTTGGTTTTTACATGCTGACAAAAATATGTTTAACACCACTACTATGTTATAAATGTACTGTAGAAAGGATGAGTTGATTTCTTTCTTTTACATATGCCTAAATTATCAGAACCCTCTTGAAAGAGGACACTGAGTTTCTGAGAAAATGCTTCTGCTCTTTGGAGCATAATTTCCCCTCATTGATCATTAAAAAGAATTCGTTTTCATTGTTTCTTACTTGTTTTGTTTGTTTTCTTTCTTTTTGTTTGTTTGTTATTGTCATCGCTTTCTTAGTGCAGCTTTCTTAGACTGAGCCATAACTTTGGGCATATGTAATGGTTTGATAAGATACTGGATTGGAATTCTGACCTGCCTTAATTGCTCACTATTGTTACATTATTACTGCAATGGCAAATGCTTTTGTCTTAAATTGATATAATATTTTATTAATCATATTGTTTTTGTCATGGGCCGACTTGCTGGGTTAAATAATAGGAATGAGAGCAATTATTACTGCCTTAATACTGACTAAAGTAAATATAGGAAATACACGTATTTGGTATTTTAAAACCATGCTAAAAAGCACACTTTTCTACTTTGATGTCTCATTTTGGTTTCTTTGTTAAAATCTTTACAGTTTARTGAGCTGTGTGGAAAATCCAGCTGTGCCAACTGCGTGCAGCGTGTCAGATGCCCAGGGCTGTACCTGGATGCCGGAGCCAGGGAGCGGATGGCGCCTGCAGGCTGGGAGGTTCTCTGGAAGCAGGAGGTGATCCCAGACCAGGGCTGAAAGGGAGGGAGGATGCCCTGCATCCTCCTGCATCTTTTGCAGCTTATTGCTAACAGCTTTTAACAGGCAGATGATTAGAGCCACGCTCTGCAGCTCGTGCTTAGGGTGTCGCTCGTGCTGGGTGTCGCTGGTTGCAAAATGGACAGCGCTTGGGTTCACTCAGGGCCCTTGCTCAAGGGACCTTTAGGACGGGCATCTAAATCCCACAGCGGATTCAGACAGGGGAAAGTAAGGGCACATTTAAAACAATGGTTATGAGCATAGATGAAAGAAGGAGTTTGTGTTATCAAGAAAAGCTGTAGTGAGGCGGCAGCTGCTGTGCCCCTTGTCTCATGAAGAAAAGTTAGAGCATAGCTCTATAACCTAAATATTCTGTTCAAGCTTCCATTCCGGGYGAGATGTGGATTTTAGTAACCTCTAGGAGACATATGTACTCTTTGGAAGGACTTTGTCTGTCCAGAATACGTGCATTTAAATACAAGTTAATAATTTTTTTTTAATGTTGTGTTTTTATTGCCTGCAATTACATTAGAGAGTAAGGTCAAACACTTTATTTATTTACCGTTATTCAATTGTTCCCCCCTAATTTAATGAACTGCTACAGTCACCAAGTCTCTCTTTGGTGTATGCTTGTATGTAGGGGCTGGRCAGGCACCGGTGTCCCATGCGGTGCCCCATCTGCAGGGGAGATACCTCCAACTCTGAAGGTAACCAGAATGAAAGGTCTTGTTTTGTGGCATAGTATGCAGAATATGAGAAATGCTAACAAAAGATCACTGAAAGCCTCTTCAAATATTTGTGTGCTTAAGGGGAGAAATTTGAATCATCTCTGATGCTAATTTCAAGAGCACTGGGTCAATCAGGCTGAGAAAATTTAAGCCTAAAAAAACTCACATCCTTTTCTTAATATGATTCATGTATTAATATGATTGCAATAGATGCGTGCACAAGATCAACTCTTTCAAAGAAACTAATAACTTTTTATTTCAAAAATGYAAGGATTAAAATGAATCAGAAATAATGAGAAATCTAAGGACAAACCAATACTTCTCTGCATCCCTAACACACAGGACAGGATAATTAATGTCCAGGTGCTTGTTGCAAATAAGTAGGATCCAGCCCATGGGGTATGCACAGGCATCCTTTTATTAGTGTTACCTCGTAATGTTTCGCATATAGAAGAACTGGTTTGTGCAGGACTAAGCAAAAACTTGGCACCGAAGGGCAGTTTGGATGCAGATTCTCCCTAGGGTCTCCTTGCCGCTGCCGAGACCGAAAAGCCRTTTTGACTGAATTGATCGTTATCACAGCAAAAGTATCAGGGACAAATGGTCAACCGCTGAGTAAATATTTTAACAAAGCTTTTCAATAGGCAGAATCTTCCTCTGTTTTGAGGGAATTCCCMCAGGAGTCAATCATTACCAGGGGAAAACAGTAAAACGAGGAGCCGTGCAGCCTCTCTGCTATAATGATARCATGGCCAGTGATCTTGGAACTGGTTAAAGAAGTGATGTCCGTGTTGTGCATAAGATCAGAGCCAAGTTTTTAGCACTGTCTTGTCTTCATATAGGTTGCTTCTTGCTATTGCTACTGCTCTTTGCAAAAGAGTGCAGAAAGAAAAGGGAGCCCCCCGTTAGAAGAGCGCCTGTCCGAGGCAGTGCCTGGCGGGGCTGGCGCGGTGCTGAGCTCCAAGGGCTGTGTGTGATTTGGGCCAGGAACCTGCCTGTCCCTTCCCGCCTGGCCGGGCCATGAGCTGCACTTAGTCCAAAGATACAACAGCCGCTATCGGGAGCGGGCAGCGGCCCTCTTGAGATATAAATAGAGGGAATGTTGTCCTTGGGGGACTATTTACCCAATTATTTGCTCATTCAAAATTACACACTCTGCACAATACACAAAATGATACATTCATCAACATCTTGAGGGGTCATAAGCACCTGGGCAAGTGTGTGGAGCTTATTATATGTTCCCTCTTTGTCATCTTTCATGACAAAGTGCTGACATTTATAGCAAAAAAACAAATAGTTTCTGTTAATCTTCTAATCTTCTGGCACTAACCAGTGCCAGGGCTGACAGAGTTAGACCCAAGATACAGTGTATTGTGCTGGTCATTTTAGTAAAGGACAGAGATAAGAAAAGCTCTAAAGAGTTGGAGCTCTTTATTTTCATAGTTGTCTGCGTAGATAAACATTTGTGCTGGAAAATTACACAAGTAGCTGTTACAGAGAGGACAAGGAAACCTCTTCAGCCTAAAATCCGGTGTTTATTAGTTATGGGAACTTCAGCCAGGCGCAGGGAGTCCCGASGGCCGTTCGCACGAGGAAGGGTAAGAGCTGCGCAGTGAAATGGCTACAGGAGTTGATAGCACCCGTGGGAAACCAGCTTGGGTTTCCTGGGTCTGCTTCTCAGGGAAGGCTGCAGTGGGAATTCCCTCCCCCAGCCTGCTGGCCTTACATAACATCRGACACAGAGGGTTTCCATCCAAAGCCTTCAAGTCTGGCAAAGCCGTGAGCAACCAGAAATAGAACATCAGAACAAAAACAGCGGGCAGATTTAATCCGAGCTGGTGCTGTGACCTCCTTTTATATTTGAGGGAGGGGAGACGTTCATGTCAGAAAAGTTCCTCTCCAAAATTATAGATACCCTGCAACGCCTCAGAATGCTGTGCATTTTACCAAAAATATATCAAGCCCAGTGTCTTCTTCWTTTCGAAACAAACAGATCTATACCATTATTTCTGTCTCCATCCCTGTCTTGTCCAACTCTATGTTTTCCTGCCTTTTCAAAACATGCTATACAATTACCTGGGCAGAATTATTCCTTCTTCATTTCACTGTGATAGGGAAAAAAATAATCAGGAACTATGTATCCTAAAAGGTCATCAGTTAGTGTATCTGTAATAAGCTTTAGTTTTTCCATTTAAGAACAGAGTGAAGAATTAAAAATACTGTATGTGTTCAAATGTTCCAAGTCGGAAAGAAATTTCTAGGCAGCGGATTCCTTATCTTGTAATAATATTTCTTGAACATTGAAATTGAAGTCTGCTAAGTTGTTGTTTTTGCAAAGCTTTGCCCTTTTTTTGCAGCATTGAGCTGTGTACATATTCTCACTTTGAYGAAGTGAGAATAAATCACCAGGGCTGTTAGTCCTGCCAGACTAACAGATACAGATAATACAGATGCTGCCTGAGTGGCTGCCTACTCTTTCTTTAAAGGGATATGAAAAGCAAAACAAAAAAGCATCTTTGGCAGAGCCCTGTGAGACACAAGCAATGGGACTGGGGCAGGCTGGTTTACAGACAGGGTCCTCCTGCATCTGTTCAAGGCTTGGGGCAACGCAGCAACTCGTAGCAAAAAGGTTGTGCCAGAAACGTTGGCTTTGGAGGTGGCTGCCCCGTCCTTAAGGCATCGCATGACAAAGTAAGGTTCAAAGTGTAACGTTTATAGTACTCAAAATTTTGGCAAATGTTGGGCCCGTGAGTCCCCAGGTACATGAGATTAAGCCTGACTAGTTACTCCTGATGAGGAGGCGAGTTCTTTGCGTGTGGAAATTGTGTCCTGCAGCTGGGAATCCCTGCTAGACACTTCCATGAAAATCCTGGTGGTCCTGCAAAYGACTTTATTTTTGCCAGATTGCGCTTTCTGGTGGAAAAGGGGAACCAAGGCTGGCTCGGCTCGCCAGGCTCATTCGCCCTTTGCCGCTCGCTCAGGCAGGGGCCTGTTCTCCATCCAGCTGGGATGACCCAGCGCCGGCCCCAGATACACGGCACTGCCACGATCCCAYATGGCAGCAGCCCCGGGGCAACTCCAGGAAAATTAAGGACATGAGATTAAGTGCTGGGAGGGCGATACGAAGAACGGGAGCCCTACGGTGGACATCCGCGTGTCCCCGGCCACGCACAGAGAAGATCCCGGAGGGAAGGGGCCCCGCAGGGGCAGTGGYGGCCGTGCTAACGCGCCGCTCTCCCGGGAGCGCTGCCAGCCGCCGCCGCGGCCTTTGACCGGCACAAGCGGCTCCCTCATTAGTGTGGAGCAGCGGGGACGGGGACGAGGACAGGCGGCAGCCCCCGCTGTGCAGCCTTGGTGCTGGGCGGCCCYGCGCTCCTCCTGCCGGCAGCGCTGCCTCCCGTCCTGCGCGGCCGCGTCCCGCACCGGCAGCACTTCCAGGTACCCCCCTTCTCTCCCCCCCAGTTTTACTTTTCATTTTTAGGGTCTTGCTCACGTCCAGGGGCCGGGACAGATCGCAGGTTTCGCTGCCAATCTTGGGGCATTGAGAATGGGCCAAGAACCAGACGGCACCTGCTAGTCCCCCCTGCTCCCCAAACCTGGTTGCTGCAGCTGGCTTTGCCTCTTAAGGCCGGTTTTTGCAAAGCCTTGAGCGCGGGGCAGCGGCGGGGTGCCCACGGGGACGGAGCTGGCAGGCGGCAGCRGGTAAAAATAGCCTGTCCTCAGGCGCCTCCGCGCAGGCCGGCGGCTCCTGCCCGGCCGYGGGGCTGCCAGCGCGGGCGCAGGCGGCTCCGCGGTCCCTGCGGGTTGCCGGCTTTGCAACGCGCTCGCCGGGCTTGCTGAGCGGAGCCGGGCYGCCCTGAGCCTCCATTCTGCTGCGCTGGCAGGGAACCCCTGCCTTGCTGCGCCCACCGGGCTGCRGAAGCAGCTCCCTGGATTTGCAGCCGGCAGCTCTGGGTGGCCGGGAACCCCAGCGGGAGGCGAGCCGGGAAATTCGACGTGCGCCGTGGGCCTGGCGAGCGGCAGCGGAGGGGCAGCGGGGCCCAGGCCTCTGGCAGATGGATGGGGTGTCCATCACGCGTGGCCGGGGCGGCTGGCGACGCAGGGCTGCGCTCACGCTGCAGGGGCTGCAAAGGCGCCTGCTGCGTGTGCAGAGAGCGGCCACAGCCCCCGCCCAGCTGCCAGCGGTGCCAGTGGACAGGCTTGTTGATTAAAACGCCAGGAGGTGCTTTCTTCCTGAATTAAAATTTCCCCTGTTTTCAGTAACTTTTTTTCTCTGTTTCTAAATAAAAGCACTAGTGCAAATTATTCTGGAGAATATGGCAGAGTGGTATAAAGGCCTGGTGCTCTGCCAGGTGGCAACAACTCTGCCCTCCCGCAGAAATTCATCCGCAGCTGATTCCAGCAGCACCAGGGCTGGGAGGCTCTGGGGCAGCAAGTGAGCCGGGAGAGGAGGCTGCCGGAGCTGAAGGAGCTGCAGGATCCTTCCAGGCTGGGTCTGCGGGTGGCAGCGACGCGGGTTGTGCGGCAAGCTCGCCCCTGCGCCCGCGCGGTGCCCTTCGGGGCTGCGGCGCGAGCACGTTCGCCGCCGGGAAGACGCAGCAATGAAGAGGAAGGCGCTTCCGCGCGGCCCCAGTATGGAGCGCGGGCGCTGCCGCTAACGGGGCCTCTCTCCCCCGGCGCGCGCAGGTGCCGGCGGCGGCTCCCGGCGGAGGCCATGGCGGCGCCCAAGGTGGCCGTGGTGGGCGCYGGCGTGGTGGGGCTCTCCACGGCGCTGAGCGTGGCGGGCGCCTTCCCCGCCTGCTCCCTCGCGCTGCTCGCCGAGCGCTTCAGCCCCGGCACCACCAGCGACGTGGCGGCCGGCATGCTCATCCCTCACGCCGTCCCAGGTGCGTGCGAGGCGCCCCAAAAACCTCAGCTCCCCGCCTTGGACCTGGCCGCTTTTATCCGGTAGCCCCTCTTGGAGCAGGCCAACCGTGTCTTGTCCCAAGGGGAATGTAGGAGAGGCTGCGGCTCTTCCTTTGCTGTTTGACAGTCACTGCAAATCACTTAYCTGCACAGTGTGCAAATGCATAGTGTTAAACACAAGAGGCTTCACCAGCTATAAGCCGCCCTCCGCCTTGGACCCAGCACTATGTGCAGGGATGCAGCAATACATGGCATTTCTCCAGGGGCATGAGCATCCTTCCTTGCCCCCTCTGCTACTGGCTTGTACWCGTGCCCTCCCCTGCATTGTCCCTCTTGCTACTTGTGCCTTTATATCCACACAGACACCCCGATCCACGTGCAGAAGCAGTGGTTCAGAGAGACCTTCACCTACCTTTTTGCCATCAGCAATTCAGCGGAGGCGTCCGAGGCCGGCGTTCACCTCGTGTCCGGGTAAGCACAGCCCTCCAAGGCCGCTCGGGGCCCGTTAATAGATCTGGATGTGATCGCTGTATGCAAGGGTGTTTCATGCACACAGAAACTGGGCTGGTGACAGTGCTGAGGACAGCCACTGAGCAGCTTGTGGGCACCCAAGACCAGAGGGGGTCCTTCTGCAAGAAGGTCCACGGGGTTTTGGGGTGGAGATGTGGGGACTTTATGCTCTTATAGTCACTGAGAGACTAAGGAGATGGAAAGAAATGTGGATTTAAAACTATATGGGAAAAAGGTATTAGCTGGGGAACATCAGCAAACAAATGYGAGGAAAAAAAGCTGGGGAGGATAATTTTACTGGTGAGCCCTGAGAGAGTCGTCGATGGGATCTCGATAGAAGCCTCCTCGCTGTCCAACGCGCAGAGCCCTTCCCTGGGTTCCCTGAAGGTGCCACGTTTTTATCCCAGCATCTCGCCCTCAAGCTCAACCTTGGTAGCCCCTCTCCCTGCTTACATTATAGTTGCAGCCAGCAGCACTTTCCCTTTGCTATCACCGTGAGYGAGCTGCGCTGATCCATGGGAAAGGATTCCTGAATTCTTGTTTTTTGGTTTAGACTGCAGTGGTGGGACGTGGTGGATCAATAACGACTAAGTTTGCCTGCTTTTTACCCTTGTCCCTTAGCTGGCAGGTCTTTAAGAGCGCTCCCGAGGAGGAGCTGCCATTCTGGTCTGACGTCGTCCTGGGATTTCGAACAATGTCCGAGGCCGAACTCCAGAAATTCCCACAGCACAGATAYGGTCAGGCCTTCACGACCCTGAAATGTGACTGCCCACCCTACCTGCTGTGGATGGAGAAAAGGTTGGTTTTGCTACCGGCTGGATGTGCGGAGCCGAATCCAACCAAAGGGACCATGGGAAGCAGGTTTGGGAATCCTCGATTTGAACACATCTGGCTCTTTTTTCCCTAGGGAAAATGCACCCAGGCATTCTCTGGGGAGAACACCAGCAGTAAATACTCAATCTTTCCAAACTTTTGAAGGCCACATTTGTGTAATAGCAACTTTATACCAATCTGGCTATGCCATGGGGCTTTAATTTGGGAATAGCTCTGGGGCCAGTATTGCTATAACCACAGGAAGCCACACCAGGCCAGCCAAACTGGGAAGGCACATGGATGCTCCTCACTTGCCAGACTTYCCAAATGTATTCCTGCACTCTTCAAGGTACAGTCAGCTCCCGAGAGAAGGAGAATATCTGGGAAAATGTCTAATTTGCCAGGACTTTGGATTTAAGAATGGGTTGTTCCAATTCATCTCAGATTTGGATAACAATATCAATTACTTGTTAATCCGTTCCGGCACAAAAGCTTGGATAACATCATCTTGTAACAAACCTTCTGGAAAGAGCCTCCGTGTAAAGCACACGCGTTGCACTCAGAGGGGTCACAGCTTTAGCTAGCAGCGTAGGCAAGGCTGGCTTTCCCCCAAATAAATGGATTTCAAAGAGTCACAAGAGGGTCAGGAGGCAGGCCTAAAAAAGTTCTGACCCCTGGAGTCTACATTTGGCCCATTTAATACCCTTAAAATGAGCAAACGGTCATCTCCACTTGAGGGAACGCGATGAGCCGCAAGCTTATGCGAGGTCAGACACTGAGCCGTGTTCCTCCAYGATGGTACAGCCTGCCAGCTAATCACGGTTGTCCCTCATTCCAATGCAAATTGTGGAAAAATGTTTCCTGTCCTTACAACGTGCCCCGCGGGGAGCAGGCCGGTGCCACCGCGGCCGAGCGAGKGCTGCACCGTCCCCTTCCCAACAYGTGCTCYGTCCTGTCTCGCTGCTCATCCCACGGGAAATTCCCGCTGAAGCACAACACGATTGCTAAATCCACTTAGTGTCTATCACGCAGTTTCTGCTCTCTCCTTATTCCCCTTGTAGCCTTTTTATTTCTCAGAGGATGTCGTCTAATAAGATGATCAAGCTCCTTTTCTTTCTCTTCTCTCTGGTGACCAGAAAAGAGAGCGTATTGAACCTGTAACTACCTTTCAAAGCCCTCGTGATCTGAGTAGTATTTACGGACTGTTCTCTTCACAGCTGATGGGGAAAACTGGTTTTGTACTCATTTTCCTGGTTCAAAAACAGGAACTTCTCCTGCTTTTTGTCTGAATTCAGGCGTGTGGTCTCAGCAGCTTTTAATATTGCCCAAAAGCAAAGCTGTGAGATCCCCAGGGGTTTGTCCAGCCGGAGTTGCTGACAGGTCCTGCCTGTTCTTCCCAGCCAGCCCCGTGTCCTGCTGCACCTGAACACGAGCCCCGAAGCAACAGCTGTGCCCTGGATCCTCAGCTTGCCAGGAACCAGAGCTGTGGTCCTGCAGCAGGGCTCCATTTCCACACAGCAGGAATGGAAGCTGCTGGGCACAATGGCTCTGAGAATGGGGCCTCATTCTCCTCACACTTCTTCCCTGTCTCGTTCCTGCCAGGCCCTGCAGCCTCCAGCATTCACCTCCAGGTCTCCTGTGGCTCCTAGGCCRTAGATGCTCAGCCTGCAGGGACATCCCCGAGACGCCGGGGTATCTCACATGGTGTGAGGTGACCAAGTTTAGCACCTGAGAGGCTGCCCYGGTGCCAAGGGAGTGAGTGGGAATGAGTGTGAGAGGGGGCAATAGGCACAGTGAGAGGAGTGTACCACAGTGCTGACACTAACAGCATGGGAAGGTAGCGAATGAAAATGACGTCTGCAGCTCGCTGGGGCTGCTCGGGTTTGCAATCATTGTAGAGATGAATCAATGAGGCCATGAGGATGTGTCTGTCTGTGTCTCTAGGGTCTTATGCCAGACCCTTTTCTGTAATAGCTGTCAATTTCCTGTATCTTTTCCTGTCTAAACAAGCTAAAAAATATCTGTAATCAGACCAAATCAGACACATCACCAACAGAAGCCCCATGCCACTTCCTTTGCTTTTCATCCCAAGCGTTCTTTGCTTTTGATCTGTATGCTAAAGACAACCTCACTTACTTGATGTGTGTAACAAATACACGAGGGCTTAGGGGGTTCGTTTCAGCTTCCCTCCAGGGTGTTTTGTTTTGTTTTGTTTTGTTTTCCAGGTTGAAAGCAAAGGGTGTCCAGATGTGTACCAGGAAAGTAGCAAGCCTGTGGGAGCTGCACAGCGAATACGACATCGTCGTCAACTGCGCCGGCATCGGTGCCCGCCGGCTCGTCGGGGACCAGCAGCTGCTCCCCGTCAGGGGCCAAGTCCTCCAGGTTCACGCTCCTTGGGTGAAAAACTTCATCCGGGACGGGGACGGCTTAACTTACATCTACCCAGGGATAAGCAGCGTAACCCTGGGGGGGACCAGGGAAAAGGAGAGCTGGAGCCTTTGCCCTGATCCCGGCACTGCCAAAGGCATCTTTGGCAGATGCTGTTCCCTGGAGCCGTCGCTCCAGGCAGCGCGGGATGTGAAGGTGAAGGTGGGTCTGAGGCCGTCCCGAGGGAGCGTGCGGCTGCAGAGGGAGGTTTGGAGCCAAGCAGGAGCCAAGCTCCTCGTGGTCCACAACTACGGGCACGGCTCGGGCGGCTTTTCCATGCACTGGGGCACAGCCAAGGAGGCTGCGCGGCTYGTAGGGGAGTGCATTGCCCTCCTGCAGGGCTCCTCATCCAGGGCCAAGCTCTGAGCCTCAGGGGCTCTTTCCTGCTAGTGACAGGCTCATTGCATCCCCTAGTGGCATCCCTGGACCCCGGGATGGAAGGAGCTGAAGCTGACAGCTAGTGCCATTGCAGATGCTGGGTGCTATCCCACCTGGCTTGCAGCTGGCGCTCCAGGAAGGCGGGATGGGGTGATCCACGCTTCCCTGCAGCTTGCCTGCTTCCCCCATCCACTGTTGTTCCTGCCTCAGTGATTTCTCCTATTTTTGTGTTGAGGAGGGTGAGGGAAAATAAGTGTGTGTCATACCGCAGGAATCAGATTGCTGAAGTATAATATAAATGACATAAATTTACCGTTTGCTCATCTGCATCTAATTTGTGTTGGATTAGCTAGATTCAGGTTCAGCAGAGAAACTATTTTTTTTTTCCCCATTGCACTAAATCTAAGCTGATGCTGCCCGTGTTCCTGCCTTCTAGCTAACAATTTTTCCATAGAGTTTACAGGGAAACGAACCCCCACGTAGTGCTGCATTGCAGTGCTCCAGCTCAGCTCCTGCAAAAAACCAACATTTAGTCACTGTCACATGCCGTGACCACACAAGCATGATTGTAAGAGCAGAATATGGGCTGATCACTGCATTCACCAATGTTACACCCTAGGAGAACCATGACGTTTCTGTGAGAAGTAGCCCTGTAGTCACCCTATAGCACAACCTATAATTTTATTTTTTCTCATGACAATTTGGAAATCTSTCTTTTTTTGTTTTTTCCATATATCACCTCAGTAACAGCTTTGTCATGGTCTGTCTCTGATAGAAGAGGATTTTTAGGGTAGGCTTGGGGTTCAGCCTTTCTCTGCTACTTCTCAGCAGCACTTGCAGTGTTCTTGCTGCTTTTCTTGCAGCAGCTGATAGGATCGGCCAGGGACACACCAACATGGATCTTAGCACCAATTTCAGTTACATAAGAGAGAGAAGAGCCATTTATGCCAAGATAAGCACTATAAAGACAGTTTTTTTTCTGCAATGGGCTGYGAATGAAATGATGTCTCCTAATGTAGCCAAGCTGTGGCAGCCCTGACTGTCGCTCCATAAGAAAGGCTAAGCTGAACTTTCCACTTTCCACATTTCAAGCCCTTGGATGTGCCTGAAGATATTCGCTGCTCAGAATTAGAGCTTCAGACCTGTCAAAGTACAGGATGAATGCCTGACTGTTAGGGATTAACTGCTCATTAGGTCTCAAATGACTCATTTAAGAGGATTAGCATGCATTTTTKGACTGGCTTTTTGTCCTTACACTTACAAAACAAATCAAAACCCTTCAAGGCTCCGCATGATGAACTGATAAATAAAAGCCTAATAATGAAGCAAAGGTCACTTCTGAAGTGTTTTCTTTCATAAATGAGTTTTTTTTTTCATTGTGGCATTTGACAGAGCCAAAAAGAAAATTCCCATGTATAATTCTCCCGTTTGCAAGGGCTGCCAACTCCTGCTATTCCCAGGGGGGATGAGGACAGTCTCCTCAGCGAGGGACAGCTGTCGAGGGGAACACCATCGTATTGAAGTGCAGGTCAGTCAGCTTGGGCTCAGCCTAAGCCAACCCTGCATTTTGCCCTTTTCTTCTCAGATCTAGCTGCTAATTTTCCATCTCTCCTCCTCTTCCCGATAATTCACCTTCCCTATTATATAATTCCCCTATTTTATACACAGTATATATGTGTGTGTGTGTGTTATATATATATACATACAGTATGTATATTTACCTACTGTATATATTTCACCTATTAGAGGGCAGAGCTGCTTCTTTTGGCAGCAGTCTTGGCATGGTGTTTGTAGAAGTGTAGCTTTGTCCTTGGGTAACACAGAACAAGGAAATGCATGGAAAAAACCCAGAGGAAGAGTTATTTTTTTTCCTAATCTTGATTTTCATCTAAGAAGAAACAYAAACAAACAGTTGAGCCTAGTCTGGATCTGGAAATGCTGCTAATGACAACGGCATGTTCACATCACCACGAGAAACTTGAATCCTGTCTGAACTCTGGCTGTGCATTTCCATGCTGCAGGATGGGGGGATTTCTTCTAACTTGAAGTTATAAAAGTTGCCTGAAGTTACCCAGGAGCTTCCCCATCACCCTTGGGGTTTGATGGTGCTCAAGTGACTTTTCTTCCACACATTTGTGAGATCACTTTTGAAGCCACATACTACCCTTTTGTCATCCTTTGTAAATTTATACATCTATATCACAATCTCAGTCACTTCTTTTCTACCTTGATGAACCCTGGTTTATGTAGTTACTGTCCATATAATGTTATCCTGTGTCTGCTCATCATTCTCACCCATCTTTACACCTTTTCACCCTCTAACATACAATTCTTTGCGACGGAGGGACCAAACCTGCACACAGTGCCATGGTAGTGGGGACCGTGCATTTAACTGATGCCATAATCATTGTTCTGTTTTCTGTTAGTTTCCTAATAATTTCTAATATTCAGTTGCTGCATAATCACTCTTGAGCTTTTAACTTACATTTGAATAGATCTGCGTAACTCCAAGATCTTGGTCCTAAAGAGCAAGCTTGGAGGCCATTGCTGAACCTGTTTCATGTGGGGTCTTCCTCCCCACCCCAGCCACATGTTTATCTCTGCTTTTATATACACTGGATTCACCTGCTGTTTCATTGCCTCATCTTGTGAGATTTTTTTTTTTGCTGCTCCTTGTAGTGAATATTTATTTTATCATTTTAAATAAGATAGGCAGCAACCAGCAAACTGAGTCACTTCATCATTTACCCCCTTACTTATGAATATGTGGATTTGCACTGGCCTTGGTGACCGCTCTGTGCTGCTGAAATGGATCCTTTATGCCTACCTGGTCTTTTTCATGCCATAATCAATGCTGATTCATGAGAGGATTTCCCTTCTTAGCCCACRCTGATTAGTTCCTTGGTGGGCATTTGGTGAAGAGCTTTAGTTGGTGAAGAACATGAGCAGCCCATATCAGCTCCATCACTCAGGACTGCAGCCCCACGGCTTCTTCTGACACTGTTAGAGGTTACAGGTGATCAATTTAGCTTTGCTGTTAGGACTGATCTCTACTTAACCTCCTTTGATACCTGCTCGGCTGCTGACTACATACCCTTGGCAGGACCTACTGCTGGTGGGTTAAAGAGAGGTTTTTGTCTACTAGCAAGTTATTTCTCAAAAACTTTTTTGGTCTGCCTTTCTGTTTGCATTTTTAAATTGCCAGAGTTCATGTTATTTTCTGTTTCCTCATTTGGACATGATTTATCTTCGCTCTTTCATATGTGATTTTTATCAGTGTATTACAATGAGCCAGAAATGACCTTTCTGCTGGAAAGCCACTGATCTTTCTATTGGTTCAAGAGGCTCATATAAAAATCAAGCACATTTAGTCTCTCCTTATTTTCAGACTTCAGGCATACAGGAGCCCATATGCAGCCTGATTGCTCCCATTCCTGAGCCCTGCCAGAACAGGACTGCATTGGATCACACTGCTCCTTGCCTTTTCCTGCTTGCTTTGCAAAATTCCTCCATTTGAAATTACAAAGATGTCACCTTTRGAGGACCACCCAAACCCTTGCTTCTCTGCCTGGCCACTTTCTCCTATTCTGTAGCTTAAAATCCTATGTTCATCTTACACTTTTTCATAGAGGCTTTCTTCACTGGTAGGGGAAGGCTTTCTCAGGGCTGACATGGCCATTTCCTGGCCATGCTGCCTTAAGCCAAGTAGATACCTACCCACAAGGGGATTCACAGCTTGGAGATGCTTGCAAGCCATCTGGCCTGCATTCAGAGCTTGTCTCTGAGGCAGCTGAAGGCCATTGAGATGAATCCTTGTGCTCCTCAGTGGCCTTCCCTCGTGTGTCAGTCTCTGGCAATATCTCATCAGTGATCCCTGAGCTTCTGCTCCTCCTTGGAGATCCTTGACAGGATCTGAAGCAAAGCCTGTGCTAACCCTTTAGCTCCACTTCCAGCTTAGCTGGTAGCTGAGGAATTTCAGAAACTGCGTTTTGACTCTCAATCTGTCTGTGCTGTTACTTCACCTGGAAATGCACGGCACAGCCCAGAAAAACTCCTGTACGCGGGAAAACAGTAACAGCTCAAGGTCATTAAATCTCAATAATTTTCCATCCTCATGAAATGGCCCTTAAGATCTGGCCCTCACCCACGGAAACCCGCCAGCTCTCCCAAGACAGGAGTGGATCATGCTCCACCTGCCTCAGCTCCACAGCTCAGCTCATGGCACATCTTTTCTCATCTCTCTACCCAGCGTAATGCCCTTTCCTCCCACATCTTTCACTCCTCTGTCAAATRCATTTCAATACCAGCCTGGCTTCATGAGGTATTTTATCACTGGCCCATTCCTAAAGCCTTGAGTGTCCCAACAAAACTTAAATGTATACATAAATGTGTACTTAAATGTGTACTTAAATGTACATGAGCACCTCCTTCTTATCCCCACTTTCTAATCTACACGGAATAGACATCTCTGGCAGACGGCAGCTGATCAGTCACGACCATAAAGAACTGCAGTACAACATAAAAAAGGAACAATTTATATTTGAGGCATTTTTATCAGCCGTTAGGATTGCAGACAGCAGATGGGCTGTCTGATGGATTTTAGAAGTTAGGCATAGAATAATAGTTTTCTACAACAGAAGTTTTATTCATTTTGTATCACAAAAACAAAGCCATAAAGATATATTGTCTCAATAGAGACTTCTGCCTATAGTAAGACTTTTGCCACTTCCTTAAAAAATAGAGGAAAATCAGCCTTCACCATTCACCATTCTTTTCCAATCAAACTGGCTTCTTCAGATAAACTTCAGCCTCATAAATACAAGCTCATTTGGAGCAAATGTAGTAATTAAATGTAAGACTCATGGCCTGGGCAGACATTTGTGTTGTTTTCACATTTTCTCAAATACTTGTAATAGCTGTGAGGTGGTTTATTTTATTTTTATTCTGTTTTACTGCCTACTTTCCACTAGAGGGAGATATTGGATTAAGAAGTTACAAGTAAGACTACGAACTCCCACCACAAGACGAGGATGAAGTGATGCTGAAGCAAGAGGATAAGTGGAAATGTGGGTACCTGTTGGCCTATAGGCCTCCTACACATCTATAATGCACCATTGGCTTGAAGGATGCTGAAGTTGAGCATAAGCAGCARTTCTGCTCAGTTAGGACTTGGAAACGTTATGAGGAGAGCATGAAAACTGCACTGAGGAAATGGGAACGTGAGAGGGAGCAACAAACCAGATGACATTAATAAAAATAATAGGATTTAATAGTAGATCAAACCGTTGCTATTACAGGATCTCCCAGATCTTCTCTGTCACCAAAAGAGTGCTGGAGAAAAACACCGTCATAAATCAAAATTTTGCTGTGAGAAGAAAGGGAGTGGCTGGAAGGAAATAGAAATATGCGTATTATTTTATGAGTGAACTACTCATAAAGTGAGTCGAGATCATTTAATGGAAGTGATATTCCTAAATGCAAAAGAAGTTGCAAAAGACTCTTGTATTTAGTTTCCACTCCTTTGAGACTTCCCCTCACACCACTGCCAGCACCCAGCGGTGTGGATTTCTTTCGGAGATCACAGGACAGCCCTGCTGAAGTTCTCTGCTTCCCTCCACTTGTGCTCATGCTGTTTCCATTACCTGCAACGGGGAGAATGTCTTTTCGATGGGCACGTGTCCCGTGCTGTGCTTCTCCAAGAGTCACTGTCTGCTTTTTGTTTCCCCTTTGCAGTGTCTCAGTTGACTGCCTTGCACTAGCCTTTCCCTAGACTTAATGAGCCCCAAGGGGGAGTCTCTTTTCCATTTATTTCTGTCACCAGAGCATTCGGCAGCCGAGGAAGCTGCCGGTGTTTCCCGCGAGGCCGGGTGCGCGGAGGGGAGCTTGCGGCTCTGCTTTGCAGCTGGACAGAAACGGCGYTTAATGCACTTCCATCCAAGTGGAGTATTTTCAACGCTCCTGGCTAATCCAGGTCTCCAGAGACCTCCCTGCTCCAGCTCTGCCCCAGTCAGGTGCAGGGACACATCTGTCCTGGCCATCTGCTGACTCGCGCCTCGGGACACCAGCTCCAGCACTGCTCCAATAAACCTTTTGGCTAAAGCAAAGGCCTGCCAAGCAAACCCTCGCTGCACGTGGGCCAAGGGGGGAGAACACGTCACCATCCTGCCTGCTTTTCTTCTCACCAAAGGAGCGCAGGTTGGAGGAGGTTGGGGCTCCCCTGCATGTCCTGCATGCCATCCCCCAGCAGGAGGGACAGCTTGGCWCCTCGGACCATGGAAAGGGCTGTATTTGGGCTTGAGGAAGAGCCCAATCACTGGAATACTGGATTAAAGAAATCTCTTTTTCAGATGTGCTTTGACAGAGAAAAAATCCTCTCGATTTTGGAAAGTAAGAGCTTCGACACCTGAAGAGCAGTGAAAGACCAGGATTTATGACTCCTCACAAGGCCAAATAATGCGACGTCCTCCTGGGAGCAGATGATCACACTGCACCATTCCCTCCACGTTTCCTCATCTCTAGGAYGCAGAGGTGAAGTACAGGTTAAGACTGCAAGGACAGAGGACTAATCTCCTTTTGAAAAGTCCTCCATCAGTCCTGCAGGGCGAGGCATCCTTCTTCCCTGTTCCGAGGATATCTGCACATTGTCAGGATCCCAGGGAAAATCCGGCAGTGAATTGCCATAGAGATCTGCAGTATCATAATTGCTTCAAACAGAAGGATAAATAGCTTTTTTTTTTTTTCTGTCATTTAATGGGCATCTTAAGTGAATAGCAATAAACTGCAGTGAACAGATGTTTTCACTTTTTTTTTTCATGCTCTTGCATCTTATACAGAATTATGCACTAAAATGTTCTTGTCTGGGTTTCTGAGAGCAATCTTGCTGCTGTTTGTGTTAGAAGGGTAACACTGCGCACATTAGCACAAAGACTGAGCAAAAAGCCCTTAGTTTTTATTAGTTTTTAAAGGCTTGATGTATATCAGTCATTACTTTCCTTCCCTCTTGTGAAGTCTGAAGGAGGAGCAAGATGTTAGTGGGAAAATGTGCTGCTTTCAGCCTTTTGCTGTGCCAGTCTCAGCACTCTTTTCGTGAATAAAGGGTAATTCTGTCCAAACAGGGGCAATGGGTGCAAACTGCACCACAGGCAGTTCCATCTCCATGTGAGGAGGAACTTCTTCCCTGTGAGGGTGCCAGAGCCCTGGCACRGGCTGCCCAGGGAGGCTGTGGAGTCTCCTTCTCTGGAGATCTTCCCAACCCGCCTGGATGCCGCCCTGTGCCCCGTGCTCTGGGTGTCCCTGCTGGAGCGGGGGTTGGACTGGAGGGTCTGTAGAGGTCCCTGCCAACCTCAACCGTCCTGTGATTCTGAAACAACCTCCTCCCAACAGACSGCCAGTGCAGAAGGGAGAGCAGGCTGGCAGCTAAGCAAGTCACCTCAGAAGCCTCAACCGTTTTGTCCAATGTTTCTCAATGCTGGATGGACCTGGACCCACGTTTGTGTCTCCTTGGGTCTTGAAGTGCAACTTGGGCTTTCTGCAAGGTGGGCACCAGGCTTCGTTTTGTGCAGCCACTTTTCCAATGTCATGGTGGCAGCAGCTGCTCTTTTTGCCCTAGATCTTGTGCAAGTTTCTACACAAAAACTCTTGTTTTCATGCCCAGGTGTTCCAGTTTTCACAGTGCAAGCCAGGAACAGAGGAAGGAGGTGRGAGAAAAGCAAAGTTTTCCTTTACCCTGCATTTGTTGGCAAAAGGCTCATACCAAATCCAGTGATGCCATTAAGCACAGTACAAGAGCACATTATTATTGATTTACTCATTTATAAGAGAAACATTTTGCTTCAATTATCAGTTCCAGAGAATCCAGTGTATTCCCAGTGRTGTTTTTTTTTTTTCTGCTGGAAGTTCAATTTTGCACAGAAACCCAGGCAGGCATTTTGACTGGCCAGAAGATAAACAGAAAGCTGGACAGTGGGTGGAGGCAGACGGGTACGGCAGAGGATGCCTAACTGAAGAGAAATCAGCATTAAATAACTATTGCCAAGGGGTTGCTGATGGGAAACAGAGGGAATCTGCCCTCACTCCACAGCCCCATGTTCCCTCTGCTCTCCAGGTTTTCTTAGAAACAGATGTTAGTGTTAAACTTCCTTCCAGTGATTTAGGACTCTGCCAACAGTGTAGGTAATTTTGCAAATAATGGGGGAATTTTACATTTAAAAACTTTTCTGTGGAACCAAAGAGAGCTGCAGAAATCCTGGAGTATTAGCAGCTATTGGCAGTTATGCAGCATTTTAGCAATTAGGACCAATGCTTGCTTTTAGGTAAGGGGTACGATGCCCGCTACTGCCAGTAGAAGCCCTGTTCTCASCTTCAAAACCAGTGTTTTGCTTCAAATTTGCAACACTGTGCAGCTCKTTTTGCTCTGTGCATCTTGCGGCAAGGCAAGAGGGAAGGGAGGCTCTTTGCTGCCCGGCTTAAAGCGTGTTTCGTGGAAGCTGTTGAAAACCTGCCCAGCTGCAGTTCCTGGCAATCCTCTGGAAAAGCCCAGCCCTGAGTCAGACTGGAGCTGAATCCCCTACGCTGGCATTTTAAAACCGGGTTTCTTATTAACATGCATTGCTCACATACAGGTGTCTCTGCAGCTGATTCCTGGAGAAACATTTGGTTTCAGATTTCTGTKTTAAAACGGAGAGGGTGCTGGAAAGGTGGAAATGTTTAAGTGTCTCTCTTAATTCCCACTGATTCTCATGCTACTTCAGATAGGATTTCTCACTGTACCGGAGATCCTTCTGCAACACTATTCCTTTTCTTTTTATATATATCTTTAGAATCCCTATGTGCTGTATTAAGCAGGCAGACTAACATTCAGAAGACAGRAAAAAGACACATTAAAAATTCAATTGTTTGCCATAATATGAAGGCAAGATGAAAACACTAAGTTAAAACCTCGAATTGTTCTGCATTGGGAGCACTCTTAGCACACTYGTAAATCAAAGCTAGAGTGTTTTAGGGAAAAGAATGATTTTCACCAGGTCAGCATTTATAGTTATTGCATGGTGCTGACAAGAAGAATGGCTGGATTCAAGTATTCAGATATTCCAATGAAGTTATACTACGACAGAAGAACAAATAACCCGCGAGGAAAATGCCAAGAACAGAGTTGTATTTTCTGCACATTCAGTTCTCTTTCATTTATTGACTATACATTGCTCAGTCTTTTAGGAAACCCTCAATTGCTCAAGATTTAAACATCAAGAGAGAGTTTTAAAATGGATTTGGGAACTAGACACTTTTTGACCCCGACTTTCAACACTCCTGTCTCCAGTTTTCCTTCCTAGCTCCACAAAGACAAGCTTTCCCTGTAAGGGAGCTTCCCCGGCCCTCGTGCTGGGCCGGCTGTGCCGAGCGGGGCCGCTTGCGTTCGCCCGTGCATTGGGCGCCCTCGACCCACGGCCAAGCCGCTCTCCTCTGAGCGATGCCCACGGGAGGAAGGGTGGCGAGAGCACGATATATATAAATGTAGTTAAATATGAGGGCACTATATGTATATATATAAAATAAAAATGTAGTTAAATACGAGGGCACTATATTTATATAAAAAAATAAATATAGTTAACTATGAGGGCACTATATATATATATCAAATATAGATGTAAATATGAGAGCACTATATATATATATATATGAATATAGTTAAGTATGTATATATAGGATCCTYGTCCAGCCACCCGCTTCAGTGCTCCCCAAACGGGTTGTGTTTCTCTCAGAGYGGGTCTTGAGGGGCTTTGTGAGGGCCGACACCGGCACCGGGCCGGCACCGGTACCGGGCCGACACGGGTACTGAGCTGACCCCGGTACTGGGCCAACATCAACACCAGCACTGGGCTGACAGGGGTACYGGGCTGACACCGGCAGCGGGCCAACCCTGGCACTGGGATGACATGGGTACCAGGTGGACCCCAGTACCGGTACCAGGCCAACCCTGGCACCGGGTTGACACAGGTACCGGGCTGACCCTAGCACTGGTACTGGGCGAACCCTGGCACTGGTCCCATATGGGTACCGAGTGGACCCTGGCACTGGTACTGGGCCAATCCTGGCACCGGGCTGACATGGGTA